TTGGAATAGAATCCTTTTGTCACATTTAATTATCAAATAGCTACTTCCCTTTGGGATATCTGACCATTGCCCAAAATGTTGGTCTTAATCTAAAACCAAGAAGAGACCTCTGACACAGTGGAAGCCAACACAGTGACATTTATTAAATATAAATGGTGTGTGTCTAAGGAAGTGGTGAGGAGAGAGCACCGGTCCTCGTCCCAAAGAGAAAATCCTGCCAGCACAGAGGGAAATCACATGAGCTCTTGGCTGAAGCTCCATCAATTTCATTTGTCCCGTGATAATCTAAAGATGTGTGCATTTCTATAAAGCATTATCCTTGGATTGAGAAATATAAAGAGTATTCTGACCCTCAAGTTCTAGCTCCAATCTGCCAAACTCACTATAAATACAAGGGTTTCTATTAGTCCGTTATCAGGAAAGCAACTTGTATAAGGAAAAAAAATTAAATGATATTGATTTGCAATGAAAAAAGCTCATTTATGTGCATTTTAGGAACTCTAAGTGAATCAGCTAAATACTCATATATGCACTGAGGAAAAAGAAAGTTACCCTCTGGGTAAAATCTTGTAATAAGCTAGAAATGTGAAACTCATTAATAGTATTAGAAATTAGGTGCCTAATGAATTGTGCCCATTATTGGAGATTTTCTGTGATAATTCCTTAAAAGCTAGAAATCGTCTGTATCTCAATGACATAAGAGAAGAGATAATATTAAATCCATCGGGAATTATCTCTCAGGGGAAGCATATTTCACATGGTTCAAAACACAAAGGCTGAGTTCTGGTACTTACTATGTAAGGACAATGGCCACTGCATCATTCAACACGCTCTCTCCAAACAAGAGTGTGTACAGGTCGGGGTCGACGTGCAGTTCATGGAAAATGGCCAGTACGGTCACTAGGAAGACACACAAATATGAAGCGTTAGCTGGGACACAGCCACGGAGTTTTCCTGGGTTGTGGTCACCTCTAAAAAGCAGTCATTAAATGCTGATCTCCTCAAACCCATCCTCTCTAGTGACACCAGACCTTTATTCAAGAAACAGCTGATCATGTCCCTCCCCTGCTTAGAGATTTGTCTGGGCTCCCCACTGCTTACAGAGAAAATGAGAGCTCCTTGCTACAAGTCTGCTATAATCTGCACCCTGTGTACCTTGCAGCAACATCTCCTGCTGCACCCCTTTACCTCAAGCCACACTGAACTTGCCCTCATTTCCCAGACACCCCATGCAGTTTCTTAACTGCCTTTGCATTTTGATTCCTTCTACCAGGGCAGCAGCAATTTCCTTTTCATCCACCTGCTACCAACCCCCATTCCTTAAATGTGTGAACACACACACACACACACACACACACACACACACACTTCTTGCTACCAAAGACTTCTTTATTCATTCATTAAGAACCTCTCCAGTGTCCCTTTCCAAATCCCTCGACTTCGTCAGCAAAAACCTGGCTCACTCCTTTATGATCCCAGCATACGGATCAAATCCCAGAACTTATCACAGAAAGGACTGTGAGCTCCCTGGGGATAGGGCCCATCTTTGTAACACATGGTATTTGGCCAGCACTCAATAACTGTTTGGTGCATAAATGACTAAGTGGATGAATGAACAGATGAATGTTGTTGCAGTGGCTTACTCCTGTGAAGGGAGGGGTGCTCAGCACCTGGCTCTCAGTCCCTCCCGAGATCACACTCATCTGTAAAGATGGACTCATTGTTCTCAAGAGCAGGACCCGAGGACTCATTTCTGGTACCTGCTGCCTGGTTACTATATGCCATGCACTTGTGTTGAGCCTCTGTGGGTACATCAGGACAGCAAATAATCACACACCGATTATCTGTGTTCATCAAAACTATTCAGTGTCTTGGTATTTGAAACAGTTATGCAGAATGTGAACAGCCATCATTAGGAAAATGATCCATTGAATTGATTGCCAAGGGAAAAAGAGGGTAGTTAAAAATGGCACTGATGATAAATTTTTAAGGCAGGCTGGGTATTTTCATTTCTGTTCTTTCCTTTTGCTGTTTTGTGGACTGTGAGGTTAGTGATTATGTTATATAAAAGAGTGCTATGGAGAAAACCAGCAAGAAAGGCAAGTTGAGTTGGAAGCTTTCATAAGTAGGATAGAGAAGTTTGGAGCTTTTCTCGCCAAAGTAGGGAGTCATGGAAGAGTTTTAATAAGGGGGATGACACAATCTGCTTTGAACTTTGGAAATAAAGCCCAGGCAGTAGCACAGAGGGCAGAATGGACATGTGTGTGGAGGCTTTCCCAAAAGTTTTAGGAAGAGATGAGGTGCACTAGGACAGGAGAAGGCCTGGATTCAGGTCCCCAAGCTCCTGCACGTCCTGCTCCACCCTGCAGATCCACCGCCCTGGGTTCTGACAGGCTAGTGACCACAGTGCTTTGTACTTGACTTTTACTGGTTCTCATCCTCGCTGGGTGTCACTACCTCTTAGTGCAGTGCTATGGCATAGTGATCCTTTAATGAGTGAATGAATGAGACGTAATGTTGGCAAAGAGACAGCAGAGGAGACAACACCCCCAAGATATTTGGAATGAAGAATTGGTGGGTCTTGGTGCTTGAGAGATAGCAAAGAATGACTCTGGATTTTGATGCATTGTACAACATGATGACCATATTTAATAACAATGAACATTGCTAAAACTGTAGATTTTAAGTGTTCTTACTACAAATAAATCATAAGCATGTGAAGTAATGCATATGTTAATTAGCTTGATTTTACTGTTCCACATGTATACATATTTCAAAACATCATTTTGTACACCATAAACAAATGCAATTTTTATTTGTCAATTAAAAAAAATTTTTTAAAAGAAGCTACTGCAAGAATTCAACAGCAACAACAACAACAACAAAATAAAAAAATAATAAAAGAAATGAATTGGCATAACATTTGGCCAGATCCCATTTTACCAAGCATAGATCAATTTCATCATTGCAGCTGAATAGGTCCTATTAATCACAGCAGGTAAAAGGGCAGAGATCTACTTTCTACTAATGTTAACATTTGCCACAACCTTAGCTTTTGCAGGTGGTGGTTGGATGAGGGTAACAAGTTCTCCTGCTAAGTAATCTCTTGCTCCTTCTTGGATAGAGTCAAAACCCTGTATCTAACCAAAACAAAGAGGTTTCAACTGGGAGTTTTAGTTAACAGCATTTTCCTTTTGCTAGGGTCTTATGAAACAAAGTAAAGATATTCTTCACTGGAAAATCCTATCATGGCAGCTCTCTTGTTGCTTTAGTCTCTGTTAGCCGTTTGTAATTTTGAGCTCTGAAGATAACACACTGCTCATCTCCACTCCCAGGGAGGGTTCCTAAGCTCACGTTTAGGGATATAAGGCCCTGGGTTCCTTTCCCCACTCCTGCAGTAGTGAAGTCCGCTCTGTTCTGTGGAGAGGGGCTCTGCATCTTTCCAATGAGAGCTCTGAGCCTTTGAGAAGAAAGGCTTTTTTTATCTAATATCCAGTTTTCTTTGAAACTGCTCTGACATTCCCATGATTTATTTTGAACAAAGGACTGAACTCCATTGCATAAATGATATCCCACACAGAGGGAAAGCTGTTGCTTTGCACATTCCTGTCTACCCAGTGAAGAAAATCTACCCAGTGAAGAAATGCAACAGCTTCAAAATAAAGCCAAGAGTGTGTCCTACAACAAGGGGTGTTTTGCCAGGACCACAAATGAGTCAAATAGGTGAGTCAGGAAATTAACCATCCACTCTGCTGCTGAGCTTGAAGCTTTTAAAAACTAATGTAATTAGCTTGCTGGAAGGGCTCAGTCTTTTTTTTTTGTCTTTTTTCATGTCCGGCAACGGATCACAACCCTCAGTGTCGCGCCCGTNCAACAACAACAACAACAAAATAAAAAAATAATAAAAGAAATGAATTGGCATAACATTTGGCCAGATCCCATTTTACCAAGCATAGATCAATTTCATCATTGCAGCTGAATAGGTCCTATTAATCATAGCAGGTAAAAGGGCAGAGATCTACTTTCTACTAATGTTAACATTTGCCACAACCTTAGCTTTTGCAGGTGGTGGTTGGATGAGGGTAACAAGTTCTCCTGCTAAGTAATCTCTTGCTCCTTCTTGGATAGAGTCAAAACCCTGTATCTAACCAAAACAAAGAGGTTTCAACTGGGAGTTTTAGTTAACAGCATTTTCCTTTTGCTAGGGTCTTATGAAACAAAGTAAAGATATTCTTTACTGGAAAATCCTATCATGGCAGCTCTCTTGTTGCTTTAGTTTCTGTTAGCCGTTTGTAATTTTGAGCTCTGAAGATAACACGCTGCTCATCTCCACTCCCAGGGAGGGTTCCTAAGCTCACGTTTAGGGATATAAGGCCCTGGGTTCCTTTCCCCACTCCTGCAGTAGTGAAGTCCACTCTGTTCTGTGGAGAGGGGCTCTGCATCTTTCCAATGAGAGCTCTGAGCCTTTGAGAAGAAAGGCTTTTTTTTATCTAATATCCAGTTTTCTTTGAAACTGCTCTGACATTCCCATGATTTATTTTGAACAAAGGACTGAACTCCATTGCATAAATGATATCCCACACAGAGGGAAAGCTGTTGCTTTGCACATTCCTGTCTACCCAGTGAAGAAATGCGACAGCTTCAAAATAAAGCCAAGAGTGTGTCCTACAAGAAGGGGTGTTTTGCCAGGACCACAAATGAGCCAAATAGGTGAGTCAGGAAACTAACCATCCACTCTGCCGCTGAGCTTGAAGCTTTTAAAAACTAATGTAATTAGCTTGCTGGAAGGGCTCAGTCTTACACACAATGTCCACGACTCTCTGTGGCACCTTCCCAGGACAGAATCTCTTGGAACAACCATGGATATGCCCACACCAGCTCTGCCTACACCTTGCTAAGTGTGTAAGGACAACCCTGGCCTGAGGCTGGGCTAAAAAGCAGTGCCTATTTAGATGAGCTTCTCATGACAGCACCAGGAGAATGCTCTAGACTTGGCACCTTCCCAGGACAGAATCTCTTGGAACAACCATGGATATGCCCACACCAGCTCTGCCCACACCTTGCTAAGTGTGTAAGGACAACTCTGGCCTGAGGCTGGGCTAAAAAGCAGTGCCTATTTAGATGAGCTTCTCATGACAGCACCAGGAGAATGCTCTAGACTCCATGTGGATAGGAAGGGGAGAAGACATAATCTGATCTGCTAAACCTGATTTTATCAGGGAATTTGGTCATTTTTGCCTTTATCATTCTTTTTAGTGGCAGGTTCTACTGCTGTACCTGTAGCTTGGAGTTTCCCCTCTACATACATTCTTCCTCTCTGACTTTTTAGCTAGAGAAAAATTCCACTTTGTCTTTCAAGTTGATAATAAGGAACATAAGCACATATGATTTTATGCTCAGATATGCACACACACCCCCTCCCTACCTCTCGGTAAGGTTAGTGGAGGAGCGTGATAACTGAGAAATGCTGCTGAATCATTGGAGCTCTCTGAGAAAGTAGTTTGAGCATCTAACAGCAAGGGGCTGTGGGGGACTGAGTGAGGGGTCGGTGGTGAGCACTGCACGCTGACAAGCTGGAGATAAGGCAGGAGAAAAAACCACGGCCTATGGGGTAGAAAGCCAAGTGAAGCATTCTCTTAGGTACCTGATTTATAGGTTGAGCAGAATAAGCCAGAAGAAAGGAAGGTTGAAAACAGAGAAAAAAGGGAAAACTGCTGGAGCAAGGTCTGGAGAAGGCAGAGAACGACCAAGGGGCAGAAGGGAAGTGTGTCTTCTCAGGAAAGTGAGATTATCTGCTGAGAGTCAGGGGAGCAACGCGGGAGTCAGAGGCTAGAGGACGGTTGGAAACGAGCAGAACATTCTGCTGGGGGGAATGAACTCAAGTTTCATGACAAACTGCT